AAAGGACAATGTTAGAAGTGTGTTGGACATTTTGGAATATTTGGAGCAACATAATGAAAAACAAGCCGCATTGATTTTCTTAGGTGCAGAGAAGGCCTTTGTCAGTTTGAACTGGGCTTTCCTATTCAAAGTTTTGGAAGACATGAGCTTTGGAGAGCATTTTATAAAATGGGTAAGATCGATTTATAGTTCACAGAAAGCACACATAATTGTTAATGGAGATTTAACAAAGCCTTGTGAGATAGAAAAAAGAGCAAGACAGGGATACCCACTGTCTCCTTTCTTGTTTATTTTGGTTCTCGAAATACTGAATAGAGATATAAGACAAGATGAGAGAATTGTGGAAGTAAATATCAAAAAAGAAACTTATAAGCCAAGGGCTCTTGCAGATGGTCTGGTGTTGGGTTTTGAAGACCCTTTAAAGAGAATTGAAACATTAATGGGAAAACTAAAAGAATTTGGTACATGAGTAGGTTTTAAGATCAACAAACAGAAGACAAAGCTGTTAACAAAAAATATGAAAACAAAAGATCAAACAGAATTGATGGATAAAATGGGTTTTAAGATTGAGAAGTAAAATATCTGGGTATCACTATAATAAATGTGAATTGTATATTATTTCAAAATAACTATGTTAAGACATGGAGTGAAGTTAAAAAAGATATGTTAAGATGGGAGAAAGTACAATGTCGTTGCTGGACAGAATTTCTGTGATAGAAATGAATGTTCTGCCTAGAATGATATTTTTGTTCCAGACATATCTGTCTTGACAACTGATGCACCATTTAAACAGTGGCAAAAGGATATATATAAATGTGTGTGGCAGGGAAAAAGACATGAATTAAATATAAGGTGTTACAAGATGCTTTTGGGACTGATGGACAAACAGAAAAAAGTCATGGAACTTTGTTTTTGTATATGATAACTGCAGCGGGATTATTGTACACACAAAAATGGAAAGATTTGGCAATGCCTACAATGATGAAAATGCCGGAACTCGCTGAGATGGCCCAACTGACTTCTTTGATTAGAGAAAAGATGGTATCTATGTTTATTGCTGACTGGGAACCTCTTATGGACTTTTTGCAGAAAACAGAAAAAAATGAACTCATGATTTATGGCTTTGATGATTAGACAGGATAGATTATAGAAAGAAGAGAAATATGTTGAAAAGTAAATTTATAATTGTACTTAATTGCTGTAAAGAAGATCCACTTCTTTATATCTTTTTTCTTTCTTTTCTATTTTTTTTTCCCTTGCACTTTTAGCTTTCTCTTTGATTTCTTTTTCTTTTTTCTTTCTTACTTTTTATTAGTTTGTATTAGTTTTTATCTTCTTTTAAAAAACTTTTAATAAAATTATACCAAAAAGGTGCAGTAAGACAGCATTTTGAACATGGGAATTAATAAATTAATATTTTCTGTTATAACCAAGAAATGCAATATATCCTAAATTTATTATTCAGTTCCGCTCAATATAATTCTTGTTTCCCTTTAAGAACAGAGCAACACGTTTTTACAGAAGAAAAGACCCTCATTAACATTACCTGTTCTTTCTCAGAGTAAGTTTGCTAGAGACTTCTAATTGGCATGTTATAGCTGATAAGCACAGGTAGCATAAATATATTATTTAAAATAAATGTATTTCTCTGGCTTTATTCTTCTTAATTAAGAAGAGAAACAAAATACTGAGGCTTTTTTTGAAGGACCTGTTAAAGAATGTGTGAGTTCATTTTTAAACATGAGAATATAAACCATAAAAAAGTAATAAAAGAAATTGATGCTTTTTTAAAAGATGAATTTAATTAGTTTCACTTTTTTCTTCCTAAAAGTGGATGTTTTTCATTTGTGCAAATGGATGTTCTTTGGATTTGGTCCAGGTTATTTGATATTCTTATTTTCAAAGTTTTAGGGAAAAAAATAAGTAGAATTAGATCATTCATTTTAAAATATGTCTCTTTTGTTGTAGATTCCAACAATATATTCTGTTGAATGTTAGTCCTCTCTCTTTTCAGACATTGATTTTTTTTATGTGAATAAAATAGTATAAAATATTTACATGGTTTTATTTTGTAGTGCCCTTGATAAAGGAATTGCTTGAAACATGTTTTTATACAGTGAAATATTTTTCTGTACATTTTTTACTCTTTCCCCTTTCAGTGGGATATAAATCAAACACATTCACACACAAAGACAGAGAATTGTGGGCATTAACTAGGATTACTGAAGGCCAAAGGTAAGGAAACACTCTTACTTGACATAAAGTAAGATTTCCTTCTTCCCTGCTGGAGAGTGGTCACCATAAACTTTCAACTATTACGTCCAATAAATTAATAAAACATTCCTCCTCTGCTAGCAAGGCAGTCAAAGTGAAAGATTACCCTTTGCCTTGGTTCAGTTGCTGTGGAGACCACCACAGTGTTACAGAGGGTCAGAGCAAGAAAGAAGTCTGTGATGAAGCAGGTGGTCTCTCCAGCTGTAAAGGATGTCAAAGATTCTGGCTGGCATGATAGGTTCTTCATTTTCATCAACAGCCTGTTATCAGGGGTCACATCCTTCTCCTGAAATGCATATTATTCAATTAAAAAAAATCCTCTGCAGGCTTAGGATTCTGTGAAAAAGAACACCTGCTGGGTGTTGTAGAGTTTTCAAGAATGTTGTGTTTGTACGAAATGATAGTAATATAGGCACTAAGGCAACAGTTGCTGAATACAGCCATACACATATCCCCTTTCCCCAATATCACAGTTCATGTGCCAGTTTCAACAGGGGTCAACAGCACACAGGTGGCATGTGGCCCTCCACTGTCATCTTTGTGGCCCTCTAATTTCCCTAAGATTGTGCTCCTGAAATTCAGTGGTGAACTGCCTGAACTGTGATCCTTTAATTTCCATTTGGTTTTCAGGGCACCTGAAAGGAAATAGATGTGCAAAGCCTCAGTCAGAATTAGCCTACTATCAATAACCCCCAAGTTTCCTAAAATGTGAAAACCCTACCCTCAAAGTCCTGCCCCAGCTTCCTTTCAGATCATGCCATGCCTCCTTAAGTCTCCAGTTGCCCAAGAAACAGTTTTTCCAAAGTATGAACCACTGTTAAAAAATATTACCTGCACCTGCATTATAGTTTAACATCTTTCACCTTGCTTTTGGAGGGACTGGATATCATGTGCTGGATGCCAGAGGCATTTTACTAAATATTGCTGGCTCCAAGCTGGGAAGAGATGGGGGCTCCATCAAGATAGATCTATGGGCTGCCTTCAAGTGCAAGGGTTAACTCTTAGCAGTGACTGCTGCTGGTGCTTGCTCTCACTGCTCCGTATTTTTTCTAAGCCTCTTCTGATCACTGAAAAAGCACATTTGCACCAGCAAAACAATCATTTGCCCAAACTGATGCCAGCTGATGTATATGGCTCTTTTCATTTGTACTTGCCTCTCTGGATCAGGATTATTTGTCTCATTTAAAAAAAAAACATTCACATATTATTTTGCACATGTCATGTAGCTATCTGCCAGATGTCTTGTCAATGGTTTTAAGAGACAGGTATTTGAAGGAGATATTGTACTAACCTTTAACTCCTGCACCTTCTCAGCATGCTAAATTATTTCTTATTCTTTCTACCTGCTTATATTCCTGGTGGTGGGGAAAATCAACAAATTGTACTCCCATGTCTCTGGGGCATATGCCTGGATATGCTTTTATATATAAGGAGGGATATTTAAATGGAGCCCAATATATATGCCCCTGATACAGATTTTCAAAACAGAAACTGGTGATTGCTGTTATACCTCTAAGAATTTTAGGTTAGTTTTGTCTTGTTGGTAAAGCCAAAGCTTAATTTGTGTTACTGCTTACTAGGACTCAGTGTAGGAATGTGAAAAACATATCCTGCACCTTGCATATTGCTAGTCTCAAAAGGGGTACTTCATATATGTATACATAACCATAGGATCTCAGAGCAAATTTTGCCTGGTGACTTCAGCACCTCAATATTTTCCTCTATTTCTTACAGTTACAGCTTAGGTTATTTGTTTTCCTTCCCCAAACCAGCTGTAGGAGCAAGGTTTTATAATTTAAAGAAGTGAAAGGTCATACTCACAAGGGTGCTGCTAAATGCCACCTGAGATGGAGCATTTCCCCAAAGACCCAGATATTTCTTTCTTGCATGTCCCTGAAAATGGGGCCGAGCACTTTGACATCTTTGCAAAGGCCTAGTGTTGTTTCTCTGTGTTACTGTAGTTGTTTCTCCCACTTTGGAAGGGAGGCTCAAATGTTTTTTCCAGTCTTCATTCTCTGAATCGATTTCCTTGTAAGAATCCAGCCGCTTGGCTATAAGAGAGAAAGAGAGCCAAGACAGTGTAGTGGTTAAAGTGCTGGACTTGAGCAAGGGAGACCCAGCTTCAAGTCCCCACTCTCCACGGGGCTCACTAGGTGACTTTGGGCCAGTTACTCTCTTCAATCCAATCTACTCCTCATGAGTCTTATCGTGGGATACAATTAGAGGAGACCACTGTGTATGCCACTTCAAGCTCCCGAGAAAGATGAGATACAAATACAACAAAACAAATGAATCAAACATAGATGTGTGCTTGCTTCTTCACTAATAGAAAACAAAGAAATAGAAATGTCCCTCCAAAATCTTTCTGCAGCTTTATATAGATGTTAAACTAAAGGAGTAAGGACTACTGCTGACATAATGGCTGTGTTCATACAATATGCTTAATCTGGTTACTGGATTAACCAACTGTCTGATTTCATCCATCCTTTAAATCATGCATAAACCAAAGGGTTGGGTTTGCACAAAAACAAAACAAAACAAAACAAAAAACAAAACAAAACCCAAAACTAACCAAGGTTAATACTAACCAAACTTAGCACATTATACAAATGCAGCTACTAGATTTTTATCTGACCTGGTTAAATGTGTTCTGCAAATTTAGTCAGTATGGGAACAAATCCCAAAAAAAGAGTTAGAGAAAAGGCCACATGGAAGAAGGAAAACTTGTGGGGTGTCATAAAGAACCTCAAACTTGAACTTCTGGAGGATTCTGTGGCCATGGCCCTTTGGCAGCTGGACCAAGTACACAGTAAGGAGCAACTTTACAAGAGAAGCTTCTCTGCATCATCATCTCTGGATTAAACTAAGCCAGCACAGAATTCAGGGCAGCACCTGAATCATTGGGAATTCTGCGGGATATAAATTTAAATAATAACAATAACAAAAGTCTACATTTGCTTAGCCCATGAATACTGCTCAGGCTGGGAGAGAACCATAGCTCATAGCCCTACAATGGCAAGCTATAATTTAGGAAAGGGGATGAAAAAATGTGAACCATGGTAAATATTTATATATTTATATAATTTATATAGCTGCCCATCTAACACAAGTGACTCTGTGCGGCTTACAAGATTTAAACAAACAACCCCACCAAACAAGTCCCAGTACCCAAGGAAACCAATGACTCCACTCACCACCACCAACAATAGAGGTCATGCGCTCCCTGACTCAAATGCTGTGGGGAACAGCCAGGTCTTCAATGCCTTGTGAAAGGCTAATAGGGTTGGGGCCATCCAAACCTCTCCCTCTGTGTGTGTGTGTGTGTGTGTGTGTGTGTGTGTGCTGTTCCATAGAGCAGGTGCTGCCACTGGGAAGGCATGACTCTGTTGTCCCACAAGATGACATTATTTAATAGAAGGGGCCAGAGTGTGCCCTTTCTATTAGATCTGGTGGGGCAGGCAGAAATAATAGGAGAGAGGCAGTCTGGCAAGTCACCTGTGGGACAAGAATTAAGCACTAAGGGGGAGTGGGGTATTTGAGGGCACTTCCACACAGCTACTAGCCTTGCCTTTCCCATGTTTTGCTGCAGTTTTGCACTGCTTTGTGAGTGTCCTCATTGCTGCTCCTTGGGGGGAGGGTGAAGTTGAGGTAGTCAATGGGGGAACAGAAAGTTTTCTCTTGCACTGAGCAAAAAAGTAATTGGGGCAGCCGTTGTGGAAAAGATGCACCTCCAATGGCTTGTGCAGAACAGGAGAGTAGTAGTGAAGCAAAAATTGGGAAATCCCCAGAGCTGAGATGAGGTTGGGGGAAAGCACCCTATCCCACATTTCCAAAATAAATGCTGGAAAGATATCTTATGTTTGTTCGAAGCTGAAGCCGAGCTGATCTTGGTTCAGCTTCTCCCACATAAACTTCTTGACATCAGGGGGCCAGCATCTATCTCAAAATGATGTCATCCTTCTATGTGGAAGGGACTTGAGTTACAAAGTGTTTATGTTGTGAGAAGCCCCTCTACAGATAAATGCACATATGGCATAGTCCTGTCCCCTTTATTTGCACACAATATATCCTGTAGTCTATCTCCTTCCCAACCCCCAAAAGCTGCAGGACATCTTTTTTTCATATCTGAGGGATCTTCTTTCTCCTCCATCAGCTTTCACATTCAGTCTAATTTAGCACTCAAGGACATGCATACACATCTTACCATTTTCCTGATGTGAAAATTCTTTCCCATTAATTGTACATCGTCGAAATACCATCTTGTTCTCTGTCAGTGTTCCTGTTTTGTCAGAGAAGATATACTGAACTTGTCCCAGGTCTTCAGTAATATTGAGTGCTCGGCACTGTATGGGCAAATCTTGCTCTTCATTATACAAGTCAATATCATTATGAATTAAGAAGACTTGACCCAACTTGACCAGTTCAATCGATATATAGAGGGAGATGGGGATTAAGACCTGAAAGAAGACATTTCTCAGCACGTTAGAAATTTTTTAGCTGGATAATTTTCTGTTTCTTTTTTTGACATTAACAATGACTGCTATAACAAATCTTCACAAAGTTTTTCATAACAGCTCCCATGTCTTACTCTGAAGACTTTTCAACCTGAGGCTTCAGAGCTGGAGCAACTCTATAGACTACCCACCCATTCCAGTGCCTCTTTCTCAGATGGCCATCCTGGAACTCTACAGAGGTCAGGAAGATGATGGCATTTATTTTCCATGGCTTGTGAACTTTACTGTAATGTTTAAATCAGATGTAGCACATGGACTTTATCTTCTGCTTGATACTGTTCTAAATTTAACTTTCAAATTTAATGGTACATTTTAAGTATATTACTGTTTTACTGTTGCTGCTTTTAACTTTTCTGTAAGACCCCTCAAGGACCTTTTTTTTAAAGGGTGGCCTTCAAATATAATAAAAAATCTATAATGACACTATATAGTTATAGTAAGCAATATGTAATAACAGACTACAAGTGGAAGTATAAAAGCAGAAAGCTGTTATAACATATGTAAATATGGATTTATATTGGATTAGGTCTAGTGTTTTTACTCTTAAATTGGAACACTTTCTAAACAAATTTCTGCTCAGGATTGCCCAAGGAATAGGCAAGGAGATTATTCTCTCCCTCTTTCTTTGCAATCACTGGCACTTTTCATCACTATTCTGGAAGCTCCCACAATCCTTTAGAACATTTACAAGAATGAATATTGTGGTTGATTTGTGAGTCATATTCTAAACTAGTGGCATTTTTTTCAGGCTCATGCTGAGGTTTGAAAAAAAACAATGTTTAATGAATATCAAAGAGATGCTGGTCTTGTGTGAGGTCCAAAGCACTTCTTACCAATCGCTTTCAAACCATGAACAGCATCAATAATTATGATTCTTGACTAAGTAAAAATAGGCATTTGAAACCCCCTGGTTTGTTTGGAACTCTGTGTCTGCCTTCCAGACCAAATTTCTTTCTTGAACTGTGTTTGCATTACAGGCAAATCCTGTTGGCACTCATACAAACCTGAATATTTTGTCCTGCAAACAAATTTGCAGCTTGGGACAAGGAGTAAAATTCAGACAGGTAAAATGGTAATGATTTGTGTTACAGCACTGCAGCCTCAGTCTGATCCCTACTTTCCCCTTCTGTGAGCTGCTTTGACCTTTAAAACCCGAGCCAGGATCTGTTTTCATTCTCAGTTTATATAGTAACTGCCTGCTGCATGACAGTAAGCAGGAAGGACATTGTCCATAAATAATAAGAATCATTGTATATGTATACATGTGTATAATTTGATTTGATGCTGCCTGACTCCAAACAACTCTTAAAAATGAAAGGTTGGCCATCTTTCTTTTTATTCTGTGTTGTTTATCCCCTCACATGTCAGGAGTACAATATGGAAATTGCTAAAAATGAGTGCTGCCATTTCCCATCCAGTTTCCAGTAAAAAAATAAAGAAATAGGCTTCTGGTTGGGACTTACATACATACATACAACAACAGAAAACTGAAACAGAATCCCCAGAAATGTGAGCCCGGCTACCAGAAAGAATAAAAAAGTGTGGTCCAAGGCTGCCAAAATATTCTTCATTCCTCATCTAAAGTCATATTTTAAAGGTTGCCAATAAAAAAATGAGATGCTGTTTGAAGCATTAATATTAATACTGAGACATTTCTCTCAACCCTAGCTGAAGGAAGAATAACATAGCCTTTTTACAGCTCTTTCATATATTAAAAGTGCATTCCAGGAGTAGCTAAGTGCTTTTTGCGCAACGAAACACGATGGATCAATAATTTCCTTCCTGCCCTGCAACAGGATGGCTAAGCTGAGGCTGTGAGGCTGAAAGGGAGATGCTTGTCCAAGGAGGCCTCTTGAGTTCAAGGCTGAGATAGGATGTGACTTGTGGCTCACACCTAGCTCATCATTAAGCTGCTTGACTGTTCTGTTTCTACACAGCACAGTTCGAACTTATCTGTGTTTCCTTGGAAGAAAGTCCCTGTAATGTAACTGAGGTGTAATCCTGGGTCAACACACAACTGTAAACTTCCTTTTCTCATTCATACAACAATTTTCCCACCTGTAAAAGGATGATCATTGTCAGGAATGTGTAGAAACCTGCAAGAGCTGGGGCAAGGTAGTTGCCATTTGCATCTGGGATGATAAATAAGGGATGTGTGAAAAAACTCCCATTCCAAAGGCCCTGACCTGCATACAAATACAAAATACTTTAAGACAATGAACTCAGAAGAGCATATGCAGGGAATTGTGAAGGGGGAGGAAAGCATATTGAAATAAAATATAACAAGCTTGTATTCAGCTGCGTCCCTACTCTGGTGGAGCAGCATCTGGTAGCTGCAATGGATTTCCCTCTTTCCCTCCTTCCTGCCCCTTCTCATTAACCCCCCTCTACAAAGTCATTCTTACTCCTTCTGGAGTAATTTGGGAACCTAAAGTGATGGATAAGAGAGGAAAGAAATATCCTTTTGCATGAACAGAAGTTCACTGGTATAAGGTGGTATGTAACCCACAAGTAATTGGTTCATTACTCTGGAATGATTTAACACGGAAAGTTTTTTTCATGCATTGTTTTGTTGCTCTTCCTTTAGCACTCATCTTGGGCTATTTGCCCTGAGACTGTAACCTAACAGCTAATTCCACTTCAAGCACTCCGATGTGGCACTGACTTATAAGCTATTATCTAATGAACAGTTAAAAAAACAAACCATGCTGTTCATGAGTTTATTATCAATAGATATCAGCAACCAACTTCTTCATCAGGACGAGATACCATTTAAATAAAATACAATCAGCATGTATTAAAGTGCAACATTAAAGCCTCTGGCAAACAACACTGTCAATAAAGCAGAAAAAAAAAATCATTTTCTAATCATTTCCTTATAATGAAAAGTATGTCAAAAACAAATACTTGCAGGGCACTTCTAGGAAGTCTGAGGAAGTAGATCAGGATATTTTTTTTTTTTTAATGTTTTTTTTATTTTTACAACAAACACAAAACAAACATGAACAA